CCCCCCCCCCCCCGCCCCTCCCGGCCCTTCTCTTTCTCTCATTGTATTCGCGCCGATGCAGCGCGTAAACCATGAATTCGCGCAAATGAGAATCCAGTAAAGTAAGAATCGCGCGAGCGCGCGCGGAGAAACACGAGAAGACGCGGGAAAGAGGAAAAAGAGGGAACACAACGTGGAAGCTTCCCTCGTTCGTTTCATTTTTTCGCGCGCACTCTCGGAATCGCGAGCTCGTTTAGTCGGCAACGTTTACGTCGTGGCGCGAATTGTCGAGGGTTGGGAATATCTGAATAGCCGCCGGTAAATCACCAGCGTTCGGTGCGTGCGAGGGAGTCCTTAAAGGCGTGGTTGAAAATTGGCGTCTCGCGTCCGGCTGTAAATATCGGAATGCGAAATGGCGGGGAAAAACGTGCCCTCTTTTTTTTTTTTTCCGCCGCGCCAAATGGAAATGAGGTCTGAAAATGGAAGGGCCGAGTGCCGAACGACGCGCGCGCGTTTTAATCTTTCAACTGGCAGCGTACCTTCAGATGAGAAAATTTCATATTTTATTTCAATCTGTTCACCGACCGGTCGCTACCCTCCTTCTTTGCGCTGCGTCATAATCGACGAAAGGGAGAAAGAGAGAAACAGGGATGAAGAGAAGAGGGGGGGGGGGGGGTTATTTTTTAGAAACGCGCGCGCTCGAGCATTTTAAAGAAATTTTCAAGTTAAGAATGGGTTAAGTGACATCTTCGATCATGTTAAAACCGTCAGGATAATGTCGTGATTAAATTTACCCGTTGTCCCGGCTTAAGCGCCATTTCGTTAATTGTTTCCACCATTCCCGTGGGAAGAAATGCTTCCGACGGCGAAATGGAAACGAAGCGAAGGGAAAGGAGAATGAGAGAGAAGGGGAAGTAGAAGCTAAACGACGTCGAGAACGTCCGTCCGAACGACGAATCGTCATTTCAAGTGTTATAACCGTTATTAATGAAGGAATAATACATTTGCGATAGTTGGAAGGTGTGCCTCGAGTTAAAAGAAATGGGGGCGAAGAAAGAGATGATTGGAATTCCCGAGGTGATCCCTTCTGTTTGGTTAATACGCGCAATAAAACCGAAAAGACTCGTCGTGCGCCACATCTCGTTACCGCTTCAGATTTCCCCGTATTAATTTTCCCATTCTAATAAAGGCGGCTGTGACTGTGTTGTTTTAGCAAACTCAAATTTCAAATTTGCGTCGATCGCCAGGTTTGAAATGTTAATCCTGAAATGTCACGCATATGATAACAAATCGTAACTAAATAATTATGTGCTGTATCGAATTTTACGCTGTCATCGCGCGATTACACCGTGACATTTACGACCGACGGACAATAACTGAGCAACTGTCGATTATGGCAGCGGTATTTCGTTGTCAGGAAAACATCACATGTCAAACGCGACGGGATAATTTAATTAACATCGATTGCTGTTTAATTACTGGGAAACACTGGCAGCATGACGTGCTACAAAGAGGCCGAAAGAGAGAAAGAGAGAGAGAGAGAGAGAGAGAGAGTTGGAGGGGGAGTGAAAAGAAGAGGGAGAAACGGCGGAAATGTCCCGGAAAGTTATTCGAATCGGATACGAACGTCTCAAGTACGGTGCTTTGGTTCCTTCTCTTGTCAGGGTAACGTCTCTCCTCTCGCGCGTTTTCGACCCATGGGTTGTAAGGCACAAAGTCTCCGAGGACAAGAATTTTCGTCAATCTTTCCATTCCGTCCGACCGATCGACCGAGAATACACGACTTCCGGTTAGACTAGTCCCACGTTCTGTCATTCATTCACGGAGCGCGTCGACAGATCGACCGATCAACGATGAAATGAATGAAATAACAATGAGAAAGATAGGGGGAGGTGCAAATATGAAGCGTCTCGATCGTTCCTTTACCTCTTCGAGTCTTTCGTAGTTTTCATTTTGCCAACATTACACGGAGCGCAGCGTCGAACAGCGAAACGCGTCGCGGGGAGAGAAAGAGAACGTAGAAATACGCACAGAGAGCTTAATTTAATAATATAATAAACCCCGACGCGCGCGCAGTATCGAGTGTAGCGCACGCGGCGAACGCAGCGAAATAAGAATAACGCGCGCATGATTGTTCCTGAAAGTTCCCCGAGACTCTTCCGGCTATTCGAGCGCGCCCGATGCTCTTCGGTCTCTTATTCCAGCCTCTTCGGGCAGAGTAAAAGGCAAGTACGGCCTTTGGTATCTTCATTCTCGACTTACAGCGCAACTTACAAAGGCTCGAGAGTTTGAGTGGGCGAACGTCGAGAACGCCAACTCTTTCGCTCGATCCTCGCCCTCGCGATTTTCGCGAGGGCAGAATTAAGTTAGCGACAGAGAAAATTCCCTCGCCAATACAATTGCCGGATATTCGTTGGAAATATAAGGGGAGGTCGGGACATGTCCGAACTAAAAATCGGACCTATTCCATCACGCGACCCGCAAATACGCGTGTCACTTATTCGTAGTTTTCTCTTTTTGTTTCAACCATCGATTGAAATCATGTCATGGTGACCTTATAATGTTGCTGAAAGTCGTCAGAATGTCGCTCGTTATTCACTTTACGCGCATGAACTGTGAATTTTTCACGGTGAAACGTAAATATTACGCAGTACCGCATTTTTAATGCTAAATAAAAATGTTTCGTTTCCGATGCAACTGTTTAGTTTGCGACATTTATTAATGTCTATATTTTCACATTGTAAACGTATTTGCAATTCTACGCATGCATTTGGGAAAAAAAGAGAAAATCGAGAGAAAACGAGCCTAATAATCGGTAACCAGCTTCGCCTTAAGGCTTTTACTTCCTCGACGCAATTATTTTGATTAATTACAGAAGCGAAGAAACGTATCTCGGAAATTTTTGCGGAATACGCTGAGATAAAAGGATGTATCCATAAAATGATACTTGTAGTTGATTGAACACATTTGTAAACTATATTCGTAAAATATTTGAAAACTTTTCTTTTCCTTTAACAATCAATAAATGAGCCGTAAAATGACAAAATCATGAGAAAAAATAGGTTGAAAAGAGAGGTTAATTGTTGTTAATTTTATGATTATTTGTTGATCGTTAGAACAGAAGGGAAGTTTTTGGAATATTTTATACGTATAATCAATCGATCGTGTCATTTTATGGACATATCGTTTTATTTCAACGTATCTTGCAAGAATTTTAGATACGCGTTTCCCCGCTTCTTACATCATCAAAAAAAACGACTACAGCAAGGGATCAAAAGCCTGAATATTAATATTAGTGATTAATATAAGAGATAGGGGGCGG